TTCTTCAAATTTTATTTAACAATTATTTTTAAAAATTATTTCAATTTTATAAAAAAATTCAATAATTGTGGAGAGAGAAACTAGTGTTTTTATAGATCAATACGTACAGAAAGGCCACGTGAAAACAATGAATGCAACTTTGGCAGGCGCTAGTGGGTCTGACTATGGACCATGCGCTTCAGATTCATAATTCATGTTCTTTCAAAGCAGTCACTGTTATGGATATGAATCAAAGCAAAAGCTGATTTCCTACGTCATTTCAATGGTTAATTATGAAAGGAGGTTTGGCAGCTTTGTTGAAGGCAGACACTGAGTAATTGGCAGAAGGTGCAATTCAGCCCCTCTACCAGCCATGTTGTGGCAGATCAGCCCCTGTACTAGAAACCATGGCAAATCAGCCCCTCTACTTCATGTTATCCGCAGAACACCCCTTTTAATGAGAATGACGTCATCCAACCGTTAGACCCTCCATTGCCCGTTAAAACCTGATGAGTTGGCGCTGACTGGGAGCTGATTGGGTGCTGATGTGGACCAATTTTACTCCACCTGGGTTTACCGAGATGGCACTCCAAACGGGCGGCTGGCCCATCATTCTCCTCCCTCTCACCATTGCATTCCTCCAGCGCCGCAAAATCGACCCTACATCCAAGTTCTTCCTCATGAAGCTCCGCCTATTCGTCGCCTCCGCAGTGATAGGAGTCATCACAGGTATGGAGGCTATGTTAAAAACGTGCGTAAATTAAAGGAAAAAAAAATCTTAATCCGTTCTTGCTCACAGGCTGTGATGACTACCTTTACGCTTATGGAGTGGCGCGTCTTCCCGTTTCCACCTATTCCCTTATCATTGCCTCCCAGCTAGCCTTCACCGCCGATTTTTCCTTCCTCTTGGTGAAGCAGAAGTTCACTTCGTATTCAATAAACGCTGTGTTTTTCCTTCCTCTTGGTGAAGCCATGTCTGTAAACAAAGACAAAAAAAAAGTCAGCGAAAAAAATCAAAATCTAGGATCACACGTGGGACATTGTAACCCTAAACTTAAATATTATTGAATACATACAACAATCACACAACAACCAAATAAAGCTCCATTATTATTTAAAAATAAAAAGTAAAAGTGACAATAAAGTGAAAAAACTTAACTTTATCAAAATAAATATTCATTCTATAAAAATAAGTTAAAATTAAGAAATAACTATAGAAAAATACCTTATAAACAACAAAGACAAGCCTTCTTGAGATTCTTCCCCCTTGAGATTTTCCAAATGTTGCTGCACTTGACAGAGAATCTGCTCTCTTTGTCCTTCGGCCTTCTTCACTTCTATGTCCTTTGTTTCTTTACTTAATAAATCCATGATTTTTCCTTGTTAATTGAATGAAGATTGAGCGGTAAACCCAGGTGGAGTAAAATTGATCCACATCAGCACCCAATCAGCTCCCAGTCAGCGCCAACTCATCAGGTTTTAACGGGCAATGGAGGGTCTAACGGTTGGATGACGTCATTCTCATTAAAAGGGGTGTTCTGCGGATAACATGAAGTAGAGGGGCTGATTTGCCATGGTTTCTAGTACAGGGGCTGATCTGCCACAACATGGCTGGTAGAGGGGCTGAATTGCACCTTCTGCCCTGAGTAATTTGCATCACGGACTTTCCAATTATCATGGTGACTTTGTCGAGGATATGAAAGAAAACAAAAGTTATTTTATCCATATTTCTTTTTTAAGCCATTTTAACAGTAATTTTCTCAAAAGGAAATTGACAAAAGTTAGGTACTAATTTTGGGCAACACTTCCTCAAGTCCAAGACATTTTGCTAATAATTTAAATCCCTTCGATAAAATCTAATTGCATAGTTTGGCGTTTTTCATGATGTTAATATATTATTAATAATGAAAACCTAGACAAATTCATTGTATTAGATATCAAAAGATTACTGTTTTACGACAACAAATTTTGGTAATCAATAAAAGAAAAAGTGATTTTCAAGCATTTCTTTGTTTCTATAACAGATTTGTCTAGTATAAGAATCAAAACTATTTATTAAGAAAAAAAAGATACCGTATCCACTGAAAAAATTATGGTATATTATTATTGTTTAACCACAAATTAACCCGCTCAGACCTTACCGGTGCTCTCCTTTTTGGCAATCTTAATTGCTTTCTGTAAGATTACCACCATGGAAATTGACACTCCTTACCACTATAACCCAAACAGCAGCAGGATTTGGTAATGTCAAGAAACAACAACCGAGGTACATAACACATGTATAGCTAGATTAATAAAAATTCCAGTTGCAACATCACGTTTTATAAATGAAGATACATATATCAAGTTCGAATATATTCCTCAAT